GCCCTCCCAGAGCTCTGCCGACCGCAGCTGCCCGAGCCTGCCGAGCCCTCGGGCCGGTCTCTGAGGGCTTTAGCTCTGCCTCGGTCACTGCGGACACTGCTTGGGGCACAGGATGAGGGGCAATGGCTTCAAACTGGCAGGGCAGGGTGAGATTGGATATTTGGGAGAAATTCCTCCCCGTCAGGTGGTGAAGCCCTGGCACAGTCTGTCCAGGGAAGCTGTGACTGCCCCGTGGAAGTGTTCCAAGTCAGGCTGGACAGGGCTTGGATCAGCCTGGGGTGTCCCTGCTGGGGTATCCCATCCTGGGGTGCCCTTTAAAGTCCCTTCCAACCCAAAACCCTCTACAATTCTGTCACAAGGTCCCCAAGACCAAGCCCAGCCCTGCCACAGCCCAGTTAGAGCCCAAGAGCTCACCAGACACCCAAAATCAGCCCCGGCAGCCAGCACAGCTCACCTCTGCTCTCACCTCTGCYCACCAAGCCCTTCCCATGCCCTCAGAGAATAAATTCCCCACTCACGAAGTGCGGGTGAGCTCCGTGAGAATACATCGGTCAATATCCATCCAGCGTTAAAAGCTGGTTCCTCTGTCTGACGAGCCCTGGAGAAGGTGGTGAGCCCGCTGCCTCCAAATCACAGCTCAGTTCCTCTTCCAAAGCACCCTAAATCYCGGCTAAAAATAAATGGGCTTTATCGATTTCCTTTTTAAAACTAATGCTGGGGAGTGATGTGTTCTGTGCTCAAGGAAGAGCCAAAGGTATTAGTCACAGGCAAAACCAGTCAGAGCCCTCCAAACCCCCCACGGGTGCAAATAAAACCCATCTCACATCAAACCCCTCGCAGCAGAGCTGTGGGGCTGGCCCAGAGGGGTTGTCCCCTGGTCCACCTCAGCTCCAAAGCCCCAGCACGTGACTTTTTGGGGACTTAAAACCCCATCCGTGCACAGAGGCTGCATGGGAGATACTCAGGTGGGAGCACCCCAAAGTAGCACCAAGWCAACAGAGAGGTTTGCTCAAGGTTCTGGGGACACACCCTCATCCCCATCCTGGTCCTCTAAAGGGCAAAGGAATCCCCCAAACTGGGTAAGGGGCAAAAACTCCCTGCCCAGACCCTGTAACAGCCCAGCACAACCCAGCACGGGTGAGAAAGAGCAGAATCTGAGGGCACCTGAGCTGAAATGCAGCCTGGGGTGGTGAGCAGGGTGGAGGGTTTGGTGAGAGCCCAGGCGCAGCTTGGCAGGGCAATTAACTGTTTGTCTCCTTAAATTAACAGCCTTACGAGTACCGACTCTGTTTTTTGGGGTTTTTTTGGTGGTTGCAGACATGAAATAGGCTTGGGGCTGCACTTCTCCCATTTAACACAGGGGCAGGCAGCATTCCCAAATTCCCTGCAGCACCCCCAGCTCCCTGCAGCATCCTCTTCCCCCYTGAGCTCATCCCTGGGACAGGGCAGGCGCTCAGAAACACCAAACAAACCCTGTGATGTCCCACTCTACTCCCCTGGGCGAGCCTGTTGGATGAAATGATTTCTGTGGCACATCCTGGCYAGAAAAACRTCTTGGCTAGAAAATAAAGTCATGCCTTGACTTTGTAACATTAAAAATGCTGTTGGGGAGTTTTTGCTTTTCCCGCAGTTTCAGTGACAGTGCCAGCACATCTGCCCAGCTGTTTCAACCCGCAGACACGAGGTTCCCACAGCTTCCTGAACCCACAGAGGGCAAACCSCTGCTCCAGGGGGAGCGGGTGCACTGCCAGGACTGCAGATCCACCCAGGGCACTGCCTCAGCCAGCCCAGACCCCGAGGCTTTGCTCCGTTTCCTTTTWCAATCCCTGCAGCAGCGCATGGGAAGGCAGATGCCGAGAAGCCAAATCCCAGCAGCATTCGTGAATGCGCTCTCCGCTGCCAGCGCCGGATGGGACATTCCTGGATGGGATGTTCCTTCCAGGCGCTCGTCCTGCCGCTCTCCTCCCTCGGACGGGCTGGCCTCCCCAGCTGCAGCCCCTCGCAGCSGTGGGGACCCCCATCCTCACTCCGTGGGCGGCACGACCCTCCCCTGCCGGCGRGGAGCGGCAGCGGGGGCGGCGCAAAGCCCGGCCGGGGCGCAGGGTGTGGTTTTGGGGGAAAAAAAAGGCCGAGTAAAGGAGCTGAGCTCTGCTTGTT